GCGGCGGCGGGGGCGGCGAGGCTTCTTCGCGGGGAGTGAAGCGCAACAGAACCAGCGAGCACGAGGGCGAAGAGGAGCACCAGGGCGCGGCGGCGGCGGCGCCGCCGTCTTCTAGCGGACAGCCGGAGGAGAGTTCTAGCGCGACGGCGGTCGCGGAAGGCCTTGTCGGGGGTGCCGATGTCTCGACCTCCTCGTCAGACGATGACAACGAGGCGACGGACGGAACCCCGGGTGGGACAGACGACGGTCCCGCTTTCGAGTACAAGGATAAGGTCGGCGATCTCGACAGAGACGCGGCGGGACCAGCGGCGGCTGCGCCGGGAGAGGCGGTTCAGGCCCAGAGAGAAGACGGTCAGCCGCGGAAGGACGCCGCGCTGGAGGCGGGGCTGGCATCGCTGGACATGGAGGACGATTCGCCGACTCCTTTCGGGGATGTTGTAGCGCTGATGCTGTCCCAGCTGCGGCGGTAAGGAGTGTACATGCTTTGTTGTTGTGTTGTGTGCCAAGCTTGAGGTCTGAGAGCGTACACATGAATCATGCGGAAAAACCAACATGTTCCAGGGTTTCGTTGATCATGTCGATGATGACGCGGTTTTAGTGTGCCCTTCTCTACAATGGGGCACCTGCTCTTGTTTGGCCTGCTGATATCCCGCCGCGTCTAGTCTCAAAAAAGGCAGCAAGCCCGTTTCCTGCACTCGGAGTGTACGATCCCTATCAATAGCAATGTGTGTTCACGTCAACATTATATCATCTCCGAATTAGTAATGTGTGCTCACACACCCGCTTCATTGTAAACGTCAGGAAGGACACCAAGTTCGGTCGAGCCGCGGCGTCGTCCCTGGCGGTGCTCCTCGACGCCTTCCCGGAGTGCTGCGTGTACGACCTGGTAGCGCCCACCCTCCTCGAGCTGGCCGGGCTGGACGGGGCGGCGGCGGGGACCACCTCTGGCGGTGGGGGTAACAAAGAAGACCCGATCATGCAGGCTCGTGCGGTGGCCTGCCTCGCGGCGGCTTGGCCTCGCGTCCCGGCACCGCCTGCGTCGTCGAGCGCAGCAGCCCTGGAAGGAGCAGCAGCAGCAGCAGCAGCAGCAGCAGCAGCAGCAACCGTCGTCGCTCGTCAAGCCGATGCAACGACTACCCGAATCGACGCCGTCTGCAACGTCCAACGCGCGCACGCCGCGTCCCTGACCAGGGTCCTCTCGGGGGCCATCTTGCTCAAGGTCTGGAGCGTCAGGGTCCCGATCTACGGCGCCTTGTCGGCTATCGTCAGCAGGACGACCGCAGCCGCGGAGTCTCGCGCTCCCGTGCTGACTGGATCGCTCCTGGCAGACGTCGTCCGGGCTGTTGAGCTTGGGGCGGAGGATGCCAAGTACTCTCAGGTGTGCGTGTGTGTGTGTGGGTTTGTGGTTTGTAGGATCGACCGCGCCAATCGGCTACCCGATGACAAAAAGTCAGTGATGTATGCACCGTGTGCGGTGTGTGTGTGTTTTTTTTTTTTTTTTTTTTTACCCTAGGCGAATGTTACGTCGCGCCCTGATTCTCAGTATTTGGTAACGAGCAAATGCACTGCTGTGAGTTCGAGAGCTTCTGTGCGTGCTTCACTCGTCGTGCCAGAAATCGTGTGTCGAGTGCGATGGATGTAGGGGGGTATCCTAGGCTCTACGTCCCCCCCCCCCCCCCCCCCCCCCCCCCCCCGCGAACGACACAAGCCAACCTAGCACAAAATT